GTCGACATGGATCGTTGCGTGTGGCCGACTGCGTTCTTTCTCACGGGGTTGACGTCAGCAGTCATCAAATGACGGGCCCGCTGGTTAGAGCGGTGCTGCTGCTCAATGGTCCTTGGTTTGAAGTGGCAGTAACGCTGCGTCTTCCCCCTTATCCTTGGACCTTCCTTCTCGCCTGATGGGCTTTGAACGCCGAGTTATCGATCACACGCATCGGCGATTTCTGAACACTCGCACGCCACACGCCCGCCTTCTATATCGGGCATTTGATGACAGCGCAGTGGCGATAAACGAAGTAAATAAACGTTAAATCAAAATATCGCTAACTGTCAATCTCGAGCCAACTGCGCCGTTTAGCTGCCCACGCTTCGATAAACTCGACTGTGTATTTGAGCGTGCTGAGCTGTTAGTTAGCGCATGTTGCCTGCGTTGTATTCAAGGCACGCTTGAACTCTGTGGTATCTCGTAAGAATGCTCAGCTGAAGCAATGCGTGACTCGAGCTGTAATTGCATATAGTTGATGTGTGCAGACAATGGAAGCAACATTGAAGAAGGCCAGGCGCCATAGCGGGCCTTTTTATTTGTAACCCCGCCTGGTGCCACGAGGCAATATTGCTTGTCTCCAAAGGCATGCGCTGCGGTTCCCCTTATTGACCTTAACCCTCCGGGATCGCCTTTTCCTCCCAAACTTTCATACGCAGATGCCGCAATTGCCCCCAGAGTTTCAAAGGGTTTTGCCTTGTTTTGTATACGTCCCTTATTTCGTCTGTGCATTCCTGCAGCCTTGAGTGTTTTGGCTATTTTCTCAGTCTTGCCAATGCCAGTGGCAGCTACTCCTGCGATATTACGCACGCTTTTCTTTTGGGCCACCTCGAGGCGATCTATAGAACGGGGCATTATACCTTCAGCGTCAGTCTTCTGTGCCGTCTTCCACGTCCTGGGAAAGACGAGAGAATAAGTTTCGTTTCCCTGTTGATGCAGGCGTTCTTCTTCCGCGGCGTCCTCCTCCTTGTCTCAAGCGTGCGTCAAGATGGTGGCTTCGTCGTCGTCGCATCTCCTGGAATCCCGCTATATTGGCTGTCCCCCTTCGCTGTCCGGGGCGCCCACGTCGCTCCCACTGACAACAAACAGTGGCTTCCTCGCGCGAGCCCGCGGGCCTTCTTTCTTTTGTTCCTTTCATGTGCGCTGGCAGTCGGAAGCTTGTGTCCCTTCACCCGCTTGTCCTCGCCGGTCCCTGTCTGCTCCACGATGCGGGCAGGGACGGGCTTTAGTTGGCCGTCGGGGCTGTTGCCTGGCTGAGGAGTCGCGGGGATTCAAAACGAAAGAACCGCGGCCCGAGGAGGTACGTCTAGATGGAAGCGAATGAAGGGGGACGGGAAGGAAGACTGCTGCGAAAGCTTGCGCTCTTTTCTAGCTTGTCGACTTTTCTCGCTCGGGCTGTGTAGTGGCTGCACTTGTGCGCTGCTAGAAGGAAAAGGTGGAGGAGGGGGGGATACGTTTTTCCCTTCGTTGTTCGAGCTGTGAAACCCTATGTCGTGGGTGCGTGGGTCTTCACGACGCGCTTGTGCTTCCTTGGCAGGGCACCTCTCTGTCTCCTCGTGTTATCGAACATGAGTGGGGGATGCTTTTCACTGGCGGTCGCCTCTCGCTGTTGAATACCAGTCTGTGTCGACTCATCTGAAGGTCCTGGCCCCACGTCGTCGTATTTTCTTCTGACCCTTTACCCAGTTGTGTCGCTTTCCACAAGCGTTGTTTTGTGGCGATTGTCACAGGGTTGGGGACAACAAGTATCTATCTTCTTTCCTTTTCTCTTGGCGGCGCTTAGGCAACGTACCTGCGTTGTGTATTTCCAAGCAAGTCGATTGCGGGAAAGCGGTGCTTCGCTGTATGAACAGGTCTTCTTTATGCTTCTTGTAATGTGTCTTTGAAATCGCAAGATTACGGTATTCCACTTGGCTAAAGCAACCTGAAGCAGGTACCGCCCCGCTAGAGCATCTATCTGTTAAACGATGTCGTCATCGATGAGAACAATTGCTATTTCTCACTGCAATCATACTTCACAATTTTGGTATCGCCATCATCCCGAAGACTTTCCATTAGCGAAGGGGTGTTTTTGCTTAATCGAAGCAATACCATCCAAATCTCGTCGCCCTTCGTAATTTACAAATCCAAGACCTGACTCTGGATAAGCAGAGCTGTGCTGCCATTTCGTTCATCACGATCAGTGCACAAAAAAGGAACACCAAAACACAAGGAATTGCACGACACAAGCGACCGGCCTTGTGCTGTCGTGTCTTTTTTTTTTTGAGCTGTGGTCGTGATGAACGTGTGATGAACATGAACATGTGATGAACATGAACATGTGATGAACATGAACATGTGATGAACATGAACATGTGATGAACATGAGCTAGCCATTTCGTTTCTTTCAAATTTGCTGGGACCACGCGCTGGAGGAGCTACCGCTTAGTTACGCCCCACATTATATAAACCCCCATTAATCGATGCCTACGATTCATATGGTACCGAGTAATATGTCGCTGCATGGCGACATATTCCTATTATCGGGACAATCGCCCGGGCTCAGATTGTGCTCGATGATGGCTGGGCTTCTTGTGGGTGTTCCAATAGCTCTAACTTCGTTCGATCACTTCTTCTCGAGCGCAACGTCACTATGTGGGCGGTGCTCACAAAGCCGACGGCGCGCGGGGTATAGACGACAGCTGGGCACTTTTCCTTCTCCACATCATCTCTGCTGTACAGCGGCCGCGGGGTGCAGACCTTGTGCCCGTCTGACCAGAGAAGCCAGCGTTGTTGCTGATGTCTCCGGCTCCTTCTCGTGTATACCCTATAGGTTCTTCGGCGCAGGGCCGGGGCCAGCAGTTTTGGGGCGGGAAGTGGCTCGATTGCGCAGCTCGTGGCCCCGGTGTGAAACAGCGAGGGAGGGGGCGCAGGACGACGACGAGTGCAGAGCCCGGCGGCTATTGCCCCCGATCCCGACCGGCACGACGCTCTCCCAGCGGCTTGCAGGGGTGCAGTTAGCGGGGGCATCGGACGGGCCTTTCTCCTCCGGGCTCTCCTCGCCAGCTTCTTTGTTCCCCTAGCTGCATCCACCATACAGCACTTCTCGGGCTTCCCTGCATGCGTGCGCAATGTCTTGTTGTTCTTCTCTTCTCGTTTAGTGCTTTTTCCGCGCGGACTTTGACGTTCCCCCTCACTAACTCTTCCGAAACCCTCCCCGCGTTCTCCCGTATTTCGCGCGAATTGTCAGTGGCAGCTCCTCACTTCCGCTGTTTTGTCCGTCTTCCTTTGTTTTGTTTTTTCTCCTCTTCGCGCATTTCTCTCGCGGCCTTCTCCTTTTTGCGTCACCGTTGGTTAAATTATTCTTTCGTTCTTTCTTGTTTCTACAGCGTCCAGTAGCTGCGTTCCTTTCGTATCGGCCAAGCAAATGGCTTCCATTACGAAGTTTTGTTTTTCGTTTGTTCTTGAATTTTAATTTTATTTTTTTCGTTCTGTGTTGGTTATTTCGGGATGCCAGCCGGCAGTTTAGGGAGAAGTGTTAGGCTCTCGGCCCACTCTTCTCGTCAGTCCAGCGGGCGATATGGATTTCTTTTAGTGCGCGTCACGCATATGTTAGCTTCACGTCTCCTCCTCTTCTTTACGCATATAGAAGACGTGCCTCACATGTGGTGTCAGCCACGCGACTATCACTCGCCACCCTTGTGTCTTCTCTTTTTCTTTTTTTTTTCGCACGTTTCCTTGTGAGAATCCCGATCTGTCTCAACTCGGCGGACGTCACTTAGTGTCACATAGTATGAAAGAAGGGCCTGTTCGCTTAGTTAGCTGCATTCGCGTCCCCCATTAACCGACTGGATTCAATATCAATACTATCACCTTTTGTCATCTTGCTTCCAACGCGTTATTTTTCGTGATCTATACGGACATTTGACAATGTGTTCTCAGTCGCAGTTCCTTGCCCACGCGGCGTCTCTTTTGCGAATGCATTTGGCCGCGTACTTCATGCAGCTTCTGTCTGTCTTCACATTCCCTACTTTTATCACGCGTTGGTATCTCTTCGGTGATTCGTTTCTTACAGCTCCACCAATGAGCGGGCGCTGTCTTTACCCGGCGCTGTTTCAGTTCGCCGAAATTAGCGAGGGACAATCGCGCGTTACTTGCTTCACGGCCTTCGAAGTAACAGGATTACACTAATCCTTCTCCTTCGCTTAACAGTGCGACAAAATCAGTGTAATTCCTTATTGTCATCAACGCCCGTGTTCTTTGTTCATGCAAGCGTTACGTGTTTCTAATGCACGCGGATCAGTGTTCGACGCAAAAGGCAGTTCCGCATCTTTTATCGTGGCTCATCAACGTGAAATAAAAAAAGCGTTGAGTACACACGTTGTGGCCTCGCTTACCCATATTCTTTATGAGCATGAGGGACGGTGCTGATTAAAGAGCATGTCCGTGTATTTGGGGCACTATAAGCTAGCCACTTTATCACGAAGCAGTGGCTTGCATTGTTGCTTTTGCTTATTGTTGCGCTCTATATATGGTTATTTCCGAAACTGCTTGGCAGTGCCGACTTATAATTTAACTGAGTACCAATTTGCTATGGTGTTTCCATTGCTCGCTCTGAAACATGGAGCCTGGTGCTCATGGGCTGCCTCAGTTGTATTAAACGCAGCTACGTGTTATGAGAAGCTTTGCCCAGTGTTGTATGGACGATTATTTCGTGCATGTTTTTTTAATGATTTCGCATGTTTGATTGAATCGGGACCAATTTTCATAACCAGAATTCGCAAGTTTTCGCAATCTTCTTAACCAGAATTCGCAAGTACATGCTGCAGTATCTCAAATTTATACAGGATTTAAGTGCATCCTTTGTTACGTGCAGCGCGTCTCCTGTAGGAGTTTGCTTTTGTATAACAACTTAATTACTCAATTACTGTGCCCACCTGTATATGCACTTGTCTAAAAGTTTTTCTTTGTTTTGTTTGCAGGTGCAAAGCACGAAAGAAAAGCATGGCGATAACGGCATGTTCTTCATTGATGATCCCCAGGTATTCCTTTCTAACACCCTTGTACCTCCTAACTTGGTTTTCGCTGCACATTTTGGGTGTTGTCTCTTACCACATATACCTCAACCAACCACAAGCATTTCTAGAATCTTTTAGGATACATTGTTCTCACAAATTTACATGTATTAAGGGAATCTGCTCTCACTATCGTGCTTGTTATGGGCTTTGATTCACTATAGCATGGCAGAACACCCGTGCATTGTAGCTGTTACTAGACATGGTTTATGTAGACCTAGGAACACACATAGCTTATTTACATAACTTATATATTCTGTACATAAAAAGGATGAGTCCCTGCAGCATGTGTTCAGGATTAAGACACATCTTGTGTTTGGTCTGGTACTGTAATCATTCGTTTCTTAGATAAGACGTATGGGTATTAGCATAAGATATTTGTGCTGTACTACTGTGCAGACATTCTCCGAGGCAGTTTTCTTTAAGTGTAATGAAGCAGTCTGTTCGAGCAAAGCGTATTCATTAAGTGCATTTCATAAATGGTATTGGCAAAGTTCGTCTTGAAATTCAACGGTTATCTTGTAGTTGTGCCCCATTTCTGTGCTGCATATTTGAAACCATTCAATAAATGTAGAGTAGTCCAAAGAAAATTTTGCAAGAAATTGCTTGCCTACACAACTTGAACGATTGCTACATTTACACAGCCAAAACGGTCACTGCACTGGAATGATCTGAATATATTCATTTTCGGAAGTGATATTGTGATGCGTGATAACTTCCCCAAAGAAAGCTGTATACCCAATGTAATCTTTAGGAAAGTAAGTTCACTAACTTTCGTGGTTGATTGAGGACAGCATAATTGCTTCTGTGCATTTCAAGGCTAATTTGAACTGCTTGGTTTATACTTCTTAAGGTTTTTGATCAGTGCAATGACCATGTGTGTAGTTTTGTCACTTTGGCTTTGAAGACTTATTCACAATATTACTTCAAAGACAAAGCAGAGTACAAGGTAGACACACTAATCGTAGTTTTTGTGTGTGTGTGCATGTGTTGTAAAAGCTGAGCAGTGCTGAAAATCGCGAACTAGCCTTCAAAGTGTGTGCACTGTCCAACTTCTGTGTTGCTGCATTCATTCTGCTAGAAAAAAAAAGAAATGAAAAGGGCTTCTCTTCAGTTAGTAAGCTAGCCTTCCCTGATACAACGCGCATATTTTGGTGAGCTGAAAAAGCAGTAAAGGAAAAATTGCGGTGGCAACACTTTCTTTGACATCACCTAACCAGCCCTCCATGGTGTTGCTGATTTTGATGTTTGCTGAAGTCTACCTAATTCGAAAGAAAAAAAATGTGAAAGCTATAGTATTCCCTGTGGGAGCGTGATGCTTAAAATAATTTCCTGTTCTAGTTTTCTAAATACTCAACAACAAACATTGCAACAACATTTCAACAACAAACATTTCAACAAACATTTCAACAAACATTGCAGTACTGTAGTAGAACTTAGTCTCTTGTCAGTTACACTTGTGGAGGAAGGAAAAACTTGAGGATGGAGTGTCCACTGATAATCTTAAAGCCTAGTTGTAAAAAAATCTGATGGAGAGGTTGGCCTTTTTCATGATATAGGCAACCACTTTTATTGGTCAGCTCGCTCTGGTTGTCTGCTGCGAGGGCCCAATCGCATCCAAGGTTTGTGTTGTAGGACGAGGTTGGCTCGGAATCGCGAGACTCTTCCTCTTCACAGTGCTTATGCTTTGCAGGGTGTATTTGTCTTGGCCTTCATGATTCACCTTGGCTCTACATTCGCCTTGAGACCTGGCTTGCTAGAGTTTTATTTGATGCTGTACAGCAAAGGAAAGCCAATGTCTCCTTTTATACACAAAGATCTAGACGGGAAGAGCTATGCTACAGTCCCTCAACAAATATGTGTGTTGCAGTTTTTCCTTCAGCAGTTAATCTGAAAATGTGCCAAAGCTAACATTCACCCAAAACATCTCTTGTTTACACAGCTTATTACATACGAGACCTGTGCTACGTAAGAGTGCTTTGTAGGAATTATGGTTTCGATAACTCCCAGTATCTTCCTTAATGGCAAGCACTGTTCCCATAATTAGATATGTTCTGTTATTCTATTATGTACAACAGTGTTGAAATACTTGAAGGTTTTTGTACATTGACATACGCGAAGCTTCATCACCCCACTTAAGAGTGCTGCTACTGCTTTTGAGTCTTTAGTTTTGCTCCCTGCTGCATCAGTATCCCGGCTGCGGCGGCTGCATTTCCGATGGAGGCGGAAATGTCGAGGCCCGTGTGCTCAGATTTGGGTGCACGTTAAAGAACCCCAGGTGGTCAAAATTTCCGGAGCCCTCCACTACGGCGTCTCTCATAATCATATGGTGGTTTTGGGACGTTAAACCCCACAAATCAATCAATCAATCCCTGCTGCATCAGTGGCTAGATGAGTGGAAGTAAGGCTAGGCACTGGCACACAGTATTTTCGATTGTGTTTACCAAATGCTGTGCGAGCATATGTGGGGATTGTTTCAGAATTACCGCGTGGCACAGTGAATAGCAAATGGAGTCGCTTGTGCAAATTCTGAAATGTACCCATGCATGCTATTTAAATACAGTAAGGCTAAATAATTACCTTGCTTTCGGTCCTTTCTTCCCAACCTTCACAAACTCCATTTTTTGTCTATTTTTTAGGTGATAACACGAGTGCGAATCGGGACAGATCTCAAACAGATGAGACAAGCTATGGTGCTGCTCATTTCTTCTTTGTGATTCATCCTAGTTTGCACTGATTATTTCACTGCTAAAAGCTATGTATACCAACTAGGCCCAACAAAACTGTTTGACTGAACGTTCAACAATGCAATACTAGTGTGGAATGTTCCAACTCAAAAGTGTGGCTCACATTTACCATTGTACTATCTTGTCCTTCATGAAAGGGAAGTTGCGAGCGCATCTTGCTCTTTAAGGCGGCTGCCTACAGCACAATCGAGAGATAGCTGAATAAAGCGAGTCGGCATCTGGCAACACGACTTGTTGTCAGACTAGAGCGGGAGCATTATGTTCACTGGCCATGGCTATTTTTTTTTTTCCCTGATAGATTGCTTCGAAAGCCTACGGGCTTTCTTTATAGCTGTCCGTTGGTGGTGCTTTAGGCAGCCTGCTGCAGTGTGCAGGCTGCGTACTCATGTTTCTTTTTATAAAAGATGACTGTGTACATAGGGATGGACAGTGCAATCGCCAAATATTTTTGTGCTTATAAATCATTTTTTCAACATAGAAAATGCTAATTACAGCTTCCACTTCTATTTTTCTATGAAAGGGACGATGGAGTAGTAAATTATAAGTGAATTCCTAGTGATGACTTGATGGCATGTAAACCAGTTGGTCGTGCTCATTCCAAGCATACCTTCGACTTGATCTTTACAGCAGAAATGTTATGCGACATCCTGCATGAAGCTATGCTTCATCCTGCATGAATTATCATTGATGGCAATTTCAATTGCTCAGATTTTTTTTTTTTTTTTCATACGAGCTCGCCCCATTTGGCTTGTGGTTTCTTTCACAAAAAGCAAACATTCTTAGAACTTCTCATGCTGCGTCTATTCTGTGACTGCCCACTGTATGTGGTATAACGAGAGATGCTAGCATCAACATTGGCAGGCATCCGAGTAGATACGGTAAAAGTTGTACTTTGACAATGCCCAATTGCACATAGGACAAAATGCTACAAGATCTGTTCCATATTTCCTCGGGCACACTAAACTAGACATGTGAAATTTCTGTGCCACATGGCTATTGTACATGCCTAAAGTGCATGTTCCCTGTTCTTTTTCACCGGTGCAGAATAGCAAGCCAAAGCACACTAGCTCGGGCAGATCTCCTTGCCTTCTAATGAATTGTTTTCTAAAGTATTCTTTGTGTAAACATGCATTTCAAGTCATGCCCATTCAATCTTTCTTCTTTTTATGCAGAGCGACCAGGCTGTGGAAGGCAGTGCAGATTTTGAAGACACGGACGCGTCATCTGGGATAGGAGACGATGAAGATGCTGAGGGCTCTGGGGATGAACACCTATCCGAAGAAGAAATGGGTTCCGGAACCGTGGGTCCAGGTGAGTGCGGGCGAAAACTAAGACTTGGTTGTGTGAATTTTCAATGAACTCTAAACATACTGAAGTGGGATAAGCTAAGACCTCAATGAGCATTTTACTTGGACTTCAGCGGTATAAACTACTGTTATAGCGGGTTCCACGCAGATTCATAATTTACCTGTGCGGAAGCCACTTGAAAAAAACATAGTAGTGGGTGAATTGCCAGCCCTGCCGCGGTGGTCTAGTGGCTAAGGTACTGGGCTGCTGACCCGCAGGTCGCAGGATCGAATCGTGGCTGCGGCGGCTGCATTTCCGATGGAGGCAGAAATGTTGTAGGCCCGTGTGCTCAGATTTGGGTGCACGTTAAAGAACCCCAGTTGGTCAAAATTTTCGGAGCCCTCCATTACGGCATCTCTCGTAATATGGGGGTTTTGGAACGTTAAACCCCACATATTAATCAATGGGTGAATTGCCATAATAGTATATTGGTAGGCACTACCTCAGTTAAACGCATCTGTGGATCATATACGGTTTGTCTTAAATTGCTATAGCTCGAGTAGCGTAGCTTTGTAGCATTGTTGAATTAACGTTAAATTCCAACTACCTGAATGTTGCTCTTGTCCTCAATATTATGCATGCAAGTTTACATGGTAAGCAAAATGAAACAAGTTGCCTGTTTGTCTTTTCTTCCTACAACTTGCAGCAGCAGTTGTTGGAGCTGTGCAATGATGACTGCACACGCTAGCCATACACATAGTTTTGATTATGCCTTTCTAAAATGGGTTTAGAAAAGGGAGTGCTTCGTAATTAAACTACAATAAATTCAATTTTGAAAAATATTTGCAATTGAATGCTATATACTATCTGTAAAGCTTTAAGGAACATTATTTTTACACAATATGACTTGTGTAAGATATTCCAAGCACGTGATAGCAGACATGAGGAATTCCAGAACAATGCCTCCCAGAAGGGTATCTCTGTGGCTACTTACAGATCTCGGAGTTCGACATTTTAGTGCTATATTTTTCGACAGTGAGCTGTAATGTACTTTTCTTTCTGCATTGAGAGTGGCTTGTTCTTGCAACCTTTTCATTCACTCACCTTTACGCAAGATGAAAAACTTTCTGGTACGGTTTGCAGTGTCACTTTGTCTACAAGCTAGCTTTCCTTACGCAGTCCTCACTTTTATGGAACTCTGCCTTCAATGTTGCATAGACGTAATGGCATGTATTTTTCATATTCTAGAAACTCTACTGCACTCTTAGAGTACATTAAAAATAACATTGTACTGGTATTGGTAGTATCAATGCTTGAAAGTGGCGGATGTTTATTGAAGCTAGTAGTTTCCAAAAGCAAACTACTATTGCTAGAAAGATTAAAGGTGGGATGCTGATGCCGTCCACGATGTGCTCAAACATAAGTTTCGACCTACAAGATCTGGGCGTCGTTGAGCGATTCACAGCAATTCTCCAATTATATTTTTTTCCCCTTGACTGATCAGATATAGTTGTGCGTTCTTCTAATTGAGTACCATATTGTAGGAAATAGTCAAAAGTCCGACGAAATCCCATTGGTCAGGGATAAACATAGTGAAAAAATAACAAACGCCGACCAAGGTGAAATACACAAGTTAAAGACGTTTCGGCTCCCCACACAGGAGCCTTGTTCACAGTGCTTTTTTCATTGTAAGATTACATTACAATGAAAAAATTACACAAGCCAACTACTATTCCTAGAAAGATTAAAGGTGGGATGCTGATGCTGTCCAGGAAGTGCTCACACATAGGTTTCGACCTACAAAGAATCTGTGTGCGTCATTGAGGCGATTCGCAAAGAAAATTCTGCAAGGATATTTTCCCTGTCATCTATCTTCTTATTGTGCTTTCACTCTTTTTTTTTTTTAATTGTGGAATACCATCTAGACAGAACTTGTCCCTGTTCTAATTAATCTACTTCAACTCTTCATCATAACAAAAAATTAAAATAAATTAGCATGCATCGGAGATCATCAATCTTATGTACAAGCTTTTTTTTTTTCAAGCCTCTCGGTTGGCATGAGGAGGAAGGTGCTTGCACGAGAGCATGACAGTTTACTGTTTTGTGTAGTGCTTTGATTATCGTTGCATGCAATCCTGCAAGATGGGGCATTGCGACTAGAACTGGCAACAGACTCTGCAAGTAGCAAACCCTAGCAGTGCCTTTTTCGCACATAATGCAATTGTCTACATCTTGACTGTCAAAAATCTGCTGAAAAAAGAGCTCTCGAAGTCTTGGCAGTATTTTTTTCCACTTAAACAACAAGAGAGCTTTGCATGACACTCGGAAAAAGGAAGTTGTACTTTCGTGCTCCTTTAACGTCATTCTTGCTTTCCTTGTGTGTGCATGCTCAAGTGCATGCTTCTCACTACTTTCCTTACCCCCCAGAGTGCGCGCCTTAATGAACAGAAGGGGATTACGTATACAGCCTTGTCGAAACTTCAGCTCCTCATTAGAAACACTGAGTGTGACATAACAGGCATCTGCACATGATGGATGCATCCCATTGTGAAGGCTTCTAACTTGGGGGCAGCTCTTTTTTTACTGCTGTCAAGAGGATGTCTAGATGGATCACCCTGTGTAGCATCGTTCCTAGTCGAGCATTGTTTCTTGATTGCCTCATTGAGTTTGCCTTGCCTCTAAAAGCCCCGTGTTTGTCCTTGTTGCAGTGTTTGTCACGCCCAAAGTCACGGTCGTCACAGACACGAAACACCCTCCCAAGCACTCTGCCAAGCCAAAGGGCCCAGCTCTCAATCCTGAGGCGAGTTGAAAGAGCTCATTTCTGTGCAACAGCTTTTTTGAACATTGTACTTTGTTATCTCCTTCCTATATTTTTCTTATTTGCTGATCTCGATTGTTTCATTCTTGTATCATGAATACAATGTAAAAATATTTATAACAGAGTGTTCAAATTATGTTAGTTTCAGTGTATATCACGGCAAACTTAGAAACAAGAAACATGGTGGATCCCTATGTCGTCGGAATCGATATAACACAAAAGTGAAAAGCTTTTTGACGAGATATTTGGTTGCTTATAGTGCATTGAGATATGCGAGCTAGATCACTGTTTATTAGTGTTCGACAGGTATAGCATGATTTAATAGGGACCAACGCATGTTGACTCCTCACGGTGAATCTGTCCAGATGCCTAATGCTTCTGGTAGCTGAAGCTGTTGCCATATACCTGCACACATGTGGTGCATCCCTAGCAAAGATAGCAGCAACAAGCACATCAGAAAAACTGTTACTCCGTATGCACTCCTACCACGGCCGCTACTGGGCTCCTGCAGTACGTCGTGAAACTCAAAGAAAAACGCAACGTGCGTCGTGCGTTTCCTCTAGCTCACTGGTAATTTTCACAAGGCGAGCGCAGAACGCTGTGCGACAGCTGGGCGAGTGTCCGGGAGTGGGAGCTATGCTTTAATATAGATTAATGTTAGGAGTATAGTTATGAGCAAGACTTCGTTGAAGCGGCCTTCTCGTGGTGCGTGGAAACGTTGACGAAATTACTTCTATTGGAAATGTGCTGAATGGGACTGCCCAGGCAAGTTTTTGAGACTGCAACACTACTCTGTTAACAAGAGTATTGTGCGAGAGAGAAAAAGGATGCATTTACATTGTTTCCTTTCTGGCTATGGTAGTAGCGCGCTCCCGCATGTCATCTCTCGTAGAATGAGAAGTCGTGGGTCGAACTTCCGGCGCTGAAACGTTTTTCTTCACGATTTTTTCTTTGCAGTCTGTTTATTTACATTGCTGACATACTTCTGTGACGGAAATACGTCGTGAAATTCTTGCTGGATCGTGGCATAAAGCATTTTAGTGTTAAAAAAATGCAGCCACATTACCATATTGCATCAAACTTTGTATTGCTTACTTGTCCTCTTCAGAAAATATTTTATAGTGGAGCTGTCGAGCTTTTCCTTGTGCAGTTTAGCAACACCTGAAGGCTAATAGTATAGTCGTTATTGTGGGGCGGCGTGAACTCTACATCCCCTGCTTCGCTGCCAGAACACATGCGCTCATTTGACTGGCAAGGAATGCAGCAACTCTGATGGGTGAGAGAACAAGTGCAGAGAGAGAATGAGAGAATTAAAAAAAACAAAAGGAAGAAATAAAAATATTGAAGGCGAGAGGAGTACATGAAAAGAAATAGACAAAAAGAAATATAGAAAGACTGAGAAGGAAAGAGAAGAGGGCAAGCATAGGCAAGTGTAATAAGCAAAGCAAAGGGTGGGAATGGGAAGTGCGGGTGAGGGGCAATTGCAAGGGGGGCTTGACATTGGTAGGGCAAAGAAACTGCACAAGATAAGAGACTGGCACAGTGCCGTGTGTAGTGCTGGGTGGGAATTGGTGTTGCTTTCTTCTGTCCAGTTTTTTTGCACTACCGTTGGCATTCCGCAAAAAAAAACTGAGGGGCTTATTCAGGGTTGTACAGTGCATTTGATAAATTATTATGTCCCGACGTGTGTGCGTTGCAGTGTTAATTAGCACCTTCAAACATGCTGACAATGAATCATTTCTTTGGCACCAACCAGAAAAAGGCACAAATGCATTCGTTGCAAGTAGAAGTACCACCTATCAGCACACACGTTATCTCTGAAGGATCGCCATTTGTTCATGAAACCTTGTTGTCCTCATTGCAGTCACTTGGCAAATGAATGCTGCCAAAGCCTCGCCATTTTATGTTATTTATTGCATATGTAATGCATAGCTCAATTTAATTCATTGCTTCTATCGACAGGCAATTACGACATAGCAAAGTTGAGAAGCCAGGCGTATTGCTCTTCAATGCGTATTCATTGATCAAAGACTGGTCATTAAAGAGATAAATCAGAATAGAACTTTCCATGGCCATTTGGGGTACCAAGTTCTAGCTTTTTCCCATTGGATATTTCTGAAGTGATAGTAGCCTGATCTGCAGAGGCAACACAGCTTGCGAAGGGTAGCAAAAGAAATCTGCAGTCATTAATGCATAGGCCTGTGCAAGTATCTGTCTAGCAGGTGCACAATTTATCTTGTATGGTGACGTATCAGTTTCATGTAGTAGACACCATATCCAGAGTAGAGTTGACTGATAGAAACATTGCACATTCTTCACACCATTAAGTGCAGCCAAGGCATGTCACTTTCACCAGCATACTGTTAACAATTGCTTATACAAGGAGTCATTAATTGTGCGTATCTTCACATCTTTGTAAGCATGCATCTTGTAAAGACTTAATTGTTTTTCAAGGCTGTATAATGTAGTTGCACTTTTTCAATGCTGAAGTGCCGAATGCAAGATGCACTGTTTTCTGCGAATATCAAACAGTGTGCTTTCTTTATTGCAATGATGGTTCAATAGGTGGTGCAGACTGTTTTCCAGAGGGGCCTGCTATATTCTTATGGTGTAGGGCTGAGGCTTTATTCTTTTCGTCACAATAAGAATATTCAAGAGGGGTGTGAATGTGAAATGTTGGAGCAAACAGATTGATCTGGCAGAATTTCATTGAGCCTTCATAAATCTAGGGCATTTGTAGTTTACTTGACAGAGCATAGACCTCAGTTCATCAGAATAAAGTGTACTGTATCGCTCGGGAATGTGAGGTGACGGCAAAATATTCATTTTAGTTACAATCTGTTTCTTGGGCACTGAAATCTTTAGGACTTTCCGGCGGGACTCTCCGTAGCACTCTCCGGTCCTCCAAATGCAAGACGGGCATTTCCAGAGGCATGTGGCGCCTGCAACTTGCTGTGCCTTGTCTTTGCAGGACGAAAATGTCATTCCGGAGTTATCTGGTCCAGTGACATCCACCAAGGGCCCTCGTCCCGACATAGCGCAGGGACCCCCAGGCGGTGGCTACGACGACGACAATCGACAAAGCAACAATATACCCTTGGGGCGCAAGCAGGACAACCGACCGTCCTCCTTTTTTGCTCAGCCTGGCATTTTGGCAGGTAGGTGTGCCCACACTGCCAGCCTCTTGCTCATAGGCTATCTGTAAACACAACTCCTTCGTCTTCTTTGTGAGGCTCTCTATGCACATCTCACGGCTGTCTCTTTCATACAATCCAGTGTATTGCAAACTACTTAGTATATTCGTTTGTGATATGAAACTGAATGACAGGGTTGTAGCTACGCCTTTATGGCATTTTCATTGTTGTAGAAAAATTTGGCTATTGTTGGGGAAACATTGTCCTTTGAGAAAAAATAACTTATTGCCTGTGTATTTGAATACCACTGAATTGACATTGTGTTGCTTGCAACGTTAATATTTCATGCTTAAGAAGAAAAATAATTTTTACCTAGGTAATCTATGCATTTTGACAAGAATACTTATTGTAACAAGTTTACATTAAAACATTATTCGTCACTATAAGGGGGCTTGCACGCTCCATTTATTCCTATGTCAAGATATGACCTCTTGTTTTGTTGAAGCCAATTATGTGTTCAGGGGCTCAGATAAAAGCTGTACAGGTTATCACGTCAAATCTGGGCATACAGGTTTGACCTTTCTGCGGATCAAGCCATAATAGCGGGGCGGTAGTTTCTCTCTAACACTTCTGTTGCCACGCTAATTAGAGCTGTGAACTTTTATTGGTGCTCGGGTTCAGTCGCGGTGTGGTGGCTTTGCGCCCACAGGGACAAGTATTTCAAGTGAAGGTGTCTGTTTAACATTATGCCGTGCCGTCCATTCTTTGTACAAGCACGGCACCGCATAGCCACACTCCACCGGGAGCTGGCATACGCGATGCGGCTGCGGATCGAAGCTTGTCGGCGCGGGCACCCAGGCATTGCGTGATCTCTTGTTACGCACTGGTGCGCCATGCTTGCTTTGCCGTGAAGCATGCCTAATGATTAGCATGCAAATAGCAATTGAGCGCGCCGCACTGTGGTAGCGGGAAAGCTCGCGTCACTTACTGCAATGTAATGTTTTCTATGTAAAGAAAGAGTATCTAGCATGCTGCCCATGGGACGAATTGAGCCGGCAGACGTCTCTGGAAGCTCGCGTTCTTCAGGAATAAAATGCTTGTGACGTTGCTAGATCGCAGTATTTACTCGCCTATCACGATTATTAACTCCTTGTGGCAAGCTGCAGAGATGGGACTGGTCTCAAGCGATTTATAAATGTAAGGCAGTCCATGAGGTCACCTTGTATGGAAAGGTGCTGTAGAACAAATGCTAGTAAATTTTGGAATCGCAGTCCAGAGTTGTTAATGTAGACATGTATCGGCATGTTTCTCGAATCTGGACACCAAGTTAATTTCAGAAATGATCGACATATAATAAATCTGAAATGCATTGTTTCGGTAGGTAGTGTAAAGTTCCATTTTGTTCAGCAATCCTGCCTCTTGCCCCCCTTGCCGCATTTGAGCCTTATCTTCCCTGTCAGAGCCCATCATAGCATCAAGCCCATGATAAGATCAGCATCAGCTACAATAGCTTTGGAGTTATCATGAGAACCCTTCATAAGGGGTTACAAAATCTTTAGGATAGTGTGCAAACTAGGTGTGCATTGTCACCCGTTTAGCCTAGCAGAGAACAGATTCCCCTCGGGTCGTATGATGTCAATAAGGTGGGTGTGATGGACGACGGGATGCTGCACGAGTCTTCAGTGTTCCACTACACACGGAAACTTGCTGATCATTGCTGAAATTTTTCTGCCTGATGGTTAACTAGGCCATTCATTTACGGATGGTAAGAATTCAGAAGCTGTGAACACCAAAAACAGGAAACCTAGTGGCACGAACTAGTGATCATTGCAAAATGTCAATGTTAGCGCTACTCCGTTGCAGGGAAGTAAGGCTTGAAGCAGAAAAAAGAATGTGTTGTGGGTGTTAACTAGGGGAAGGACTACTGGGTCCAAATAACAAGCCAGGAAAGCTGTGCAAAGTGGATTTATGCATACTAGTGCAGGGAAGTCATCTTGCATGCATGAAGCCCATCTTTTATGTGACTCTCTGAAGAGGCTGCGCTATTCATTATATTCTAGTATAGACTCCCAACAGACAGAGACCAATGTTGTGCAACTGAAATTCTGCCAGTTTGGCTCAACATTCATGAACAAGGAATTCAATTAGGCCCGTGAGCTGTTCAATGCCAGCTCATGCTATACAGAAGCAAAGATGGTCAAAATTATCTGCGTCTGCCTTCTACAACGTCTCCCATATATGCAGAGCCACTTTGCAGTCTTCAGTTGTATAAACCAAAGTAACACCAAGCAATTTCAAGGTGCGTGCCATTAGCAAGAGTTCGGGCACTGAAAGGAGGAACTGCTCACATCGTTCGCGGACAACTACACACAAATGCAGCAAGCGATTAAAGTGTGCTTTCCCACAATGCTGGTATCACGCGCTCTATGGCTACTGGCATATCGATAAATATACCACCGTTTCACAGCCGCACCAGGCCGGCATGCCAGTGCGTCGCAAGAGATCACATAATGCCTGTGCGCCCGCAGATAAGCTTAAATTCGCTGCCACACCGCGTGCGCTGACACCCTGTGGAGCGTGGCCACTGGGTGCAGTGTTTGTGCAAAGAGTGTATGACACTGTACATACGAAAATTGGCGGCAGAGCATTCAGGGGCAGTATTTTGTTACCGTTCTGTCGCAGCACAGGGGAGAGATCGACTGGAAGAACGAATGGGAGCAAACAGCTAATAGATGGGCTGAGAGAATTCGCAAATGCTTTTAACGCCTGAAAAAACGCAGAATTATACCTGGGCATCAATCTGTATAGGCAGGCAGTGTTTTTCAAAGCGGGAAGCAGTATGACCTTAAAAATTTGTGTATTGAGTATACGCAGTGCGGGATCTGGGTAAGCCAGGCACGAAATGGGCACTTGCGCCAAAGTAATCGAATTGGCCCAAGTTTTGATCCAATCCACGTCTTCCGGCGGCAGTTTTATATCTGTTTATCGACAGAACAAAGCCTCCGCTTGTTTTATGCGTGCGCTCTAGCTATTCTCGCATCTTCACCGTCGGACTAGCCTCGACGAATCATGTGCTGCTCCCTCTAATTCTTCTGCTTTGAGTCCTCCTCCGTTCTTCGGTAGAATGCTTACAAATAACTCCCTGCATAACTCGTGGCAACGAATCTATATGGGAAGCACAGGTTGAGAGAGAGAGGTACAAAGGTTAGCTCTCGTCGTTGAGCTTTGTGCTTTGGATCGAGTAGGTTCGTCACACTCAAAGGCTGTGGTGCAGCATGAATAACTAGGCGTGGCAACGTTTGAGACTCCTGCCGACACATGGTTCGTTTCACATCCAGAGTTGGACCTAGCAGTGGAAAAAAAACTAGGTAACGGACAGCTTCATTTTTAGAAGTTGAATGCGGTAGCGTTATCAGTAGGCTTGTGCGAATAGGGAATTTTAAGTTCGAAGCAAATTCGAAGCGAATAGTGATTTTGATTGAATAATTTTGAAACGAGCTCTAATACCCGTGCCACACGGGCATAGAAAATGACATTTGGTGGCGAAGGCCTTCAGTTCCCGAATGACATTCGTTTCGCCGGCGCTGCTACACGTCCAAAGCGAATGACATTTGACTTGATGATGTCGATCACAGCACCTTCCAAGTGAGCATTGAGTGAATAGCAATAAAAAAAATTGTGAGGCATTTACAAGCTTCGTACACATCAGATAATCATCAAATGTAGAAATAAGCGTATTATGCTGTCCTAAGTTTTAGTTTCTTGCTTTGTTTTACAACGTTGCAGCAGACCGTAGCAACCTAAGCCAACACTAGTCATTCACAGTGTAAATAGACACTAAAATTGACAAGCGTTTCATTATCAATACTTTATTTTCCTCGTATAACGTTCAAAGCATCTTTTTAAGACTTTAGTGCAAATAAAAGACGGAAAATTTCATTTTTAGCTCAATATGATTTGTTTTATATACTTTCAGGTAAATCGCACTTCGCGAGCTGTGTCGTCGAGAGTAGGCATTTCTCAGTCAACCGAGTTCTGTCGAAGGCAGTTGGTGGCGAATGGCATTCGAATGGCATTCGGATGAATGCCATTTTGTTCGCCCGTGTGGCACCGCGCGAATGGCAATAAATCTGAAGGCATTCGGGGGTAAATGCCATTTTTTCTGCCCGTGTGGCACGGGTATAATGGTATACAGAATATATAAAGAAAAATGGGCATATTTATTATGACCCAAATAACCTGCACAATATTTTATTTAATTAAAATAAGGCATCTAGGCAAATGCTTTCTTTTTTGTTCAAAGGAAGCCGAAACAACTTTGAGTAGTGGCAGAATCTGGCTTTCGGAGTAATGTGAGTGATAACCTGTAAAATATGTAACATGTTAAAATTTGTTGTACTTAAAGCATATAAGCAGTCATGACAAGCTTTTGAGCATAAAAAATGAATTGATCTGAGGGTAATATGTTCATTTAAAGATGCCCTGCAATACTTTTTAAAGTGGCTATGGAATGAATTCACTGAAGCTTATTATTACATGAATTCACCGCCGCGTAATTTTTAGAATCCATATAGTTCGAGCGGAGTTGCAAAGATTTGTCGCACGCTGCAATTGCATTCTCTCTTCCTGATGAAAGTGCCCAAAGCTAAGCAGGGAGGAATGGCATGGGGAAAGAAAACACGTCACGCGAGCCCATAGGTTTAACTGGCTCATGAGTAGACTAACTCGCTCGAACTCGGATCAAGCTAAGAGTCGGTCTGAATGAGTCCGGGTGAGCAATATTTCCAAGAGTCCGAGTCCATTTGAAGAAAATTATCTTCGGTACGAGTTTGAGCGAGTTCGGCTGAGAACTTTTCGCGAGTCCCAGTGCGAGCGGGTTCCAAGAGCAAAATATTTTTCTTGAGGGAGTCTGGGCGAGTTCCACTTTATTTTGCTGACCGAAGTGCATGCCTCATGACACTTGGGCACTTTCCTTTTGTTTTGTTTGTTTCGAATACGCGGCTTTTCAGTGGGATTGCGCACAT